GTAGGTAATCAGAATATATAGATGAGTGCTAGCTACCAGAAATCTTTACGGGCATTATTTTCTTATATGTTACACGTTTACATAAGTAGGTATATGTCAAGCAATTTATCTGAGTCAACGTGAGTCATAATCGTCAACCCGTTTACGTCCTAATAAAATTGATATAAAATCACAACGATAAGGCCTAGACGTGTAAATGGCATTAAATAAAAAAAAATGTTCACATATTTTTAATCTGTCATTTCACTTGTCAACACTTTCCATGCCACTACAATTTTTAGATTAAATTAAAGTCGAATTCAAAAAAAGTAGATTAAATTAAAGTCGATCGAAAGAAAAGGCGAGTCGGTAATGAACGTGTTAAAAAAATTTGCAAGTTACTAGCTAATGATATAAAAATCTTTATTTAAAATAAATTTATATAAATAGTTATTTGAATAATTCAAAGACTTTCATAATGATTTACTCCACAAAAGTATTACATTAGCATTTAAATGACACGAGATTTAAAACGATTTTGCATTTTAAAGTTAAGCCGCCAAGACTTTTGTGAATGATTGAATACGTTCCTACACATTAATTAAAATGAGACAGAATGAATAACAAAACAAAAAGTTTTTTGTTCATAATATATTCATAAAGTTATCTTACTGATATTATAAATGCAAAAGTTTAGATAAATGGATGGATGTTTCTTTGAAGGTATCTCGGGAACGGGTCAACGAATCTTGATGAAATTTTGCACAGATGTAGAACATAGTCTGGAAGAAATATGGGCTACTTATAAGTTTATTTTTTAATTTCGCGCGGACGGACTTGCGGGCGACAGCTAGTTGTTAATATTTTTGACTTGATGTATATTTTTTCGTAGAACAAATAAACTGAATATCTAAAGCTGGTTCTTTTGTTTTACACTTTTCGTTCTAAAAAGAGACTTAATTGAGTTATCTTACTTTGACAATAATTTTATTTCTCACGGCGACCGCAATATCGACGTGCTGGTTTTCAAAGATAATACTTTCATATTGAATCGTTTTGTATCAGAAACGTTCTGTTCGTTTTATCGTTTGGCAGATAAAAATTTATTGCATTTAACATTTTGCCAAGCACTAAGTTAAAATATCTTGAGAAAAAGATCGAAGGTAAACTCAACAATAGATTACAATCGAATAAGTTAAGCAAGTGCCCTTCAAGCAACCGTTCATTAAGTAATTATTGTTGATCAATACGATCGTGCGACGAAATAATGATTTCTATTCTATGGCTTTCAATTAAGGAAATGTTTGCCAAAAACTTATTTGACACCTAGATCCTCGTAATCCTAACAAAACATTTAATTGAAAATTGTTGACGAGGTATACAAGGACATAACTGTAACTGTTGAAAAATTAAGGAAAATTACATGATTGATTCAATCCAATCTTCTTTCTGTCCCATATTAGCGCGGAATTAAACATCTGGACACATCCAAGCCTCAAATAACTTCCGAGCTCTTCAGTAGAGCGAAAATAGAGTCAAAGAAGTTTTGTATTTTGTACACTATCAATATAAACATTTAAAAAAAAACGATAGAATCAACGGCTCCATATGTTGGTTATAATTTGAGTTTTATTGCATTCATGATCGTGATGAAACAGCGCCCGGCCTCGGCCGCCTCAATTACACCAATGAAACAACGACGGTTGTCCCGTCATCGCAATTTAAAACATTTTAACTACATAGCTACATAACACTGTTACATTCAAAAGAAATTTAACGGAACAAAGAATACAGCTAATTTTATATTCAAAAGAAATAATTGAATGATAAAAAATCGTAATTTTGGAGTAACACCTACTTGAATGCACTTATCAAGTACCAAGTAACGCCGCCTAGTTGTATTTCTTTGTTTTTTAAAACATTAGGTCAATAATTTACGTCATATTGTCAAGGAAATAAACAGCGCAATAAACCGTCATAGTATTGAAATGAAATACTTTAAAAAGCACGTTTTCTGATAATGCATGCGTTACTAATTTTTGTTTCGAATATGTTTATTTGTAGTGCTGGATATTAGCATATTAAAATATATAGTTTCTTTCGCTTGGCAAGATCGTGTTCATTGCAACTAAAGCCTTAACCGTGCATTGATAATATTACCGTTTCATAACTTGCTGCATTGCGTATATTAACCAACAGTTAAAGACTCATCACACAAAAATCCAGAATAAAAAAAAGTTTAATTCAATGCAATTTTAAATGCATCCGGCCGAATCCAAGTCGTCGTCATCACAGTAAGTACAAGTCTACCCTTGTTTGATTTAAATTGACAATAGGTTTTGTTTTACCTTCATAATTCATACAAATTATGACATATGTGATTGTAATTGGCATTTTAATTTTATTTTTCTAATAGGAATGAATATTTACCATTTGGGCGAAAATCTGTAAATGTCTTGATCCGCATTTTCGTTTCGCAATGTATCCTTTTTGATCGTTCGATTTAATGCAAGCACTATCTGTTCATATCAGATATATTCATCACTTTACACTTCAACACCTTGGGGAACACCTCACATTTTGAGTCGGGAATAAATAAATAAATTCAGAAAGGATACAAGGTACTAAGAAATTTATAACAACCACTTTTCACATTGTTTTTGCACGTGACAAACACAAGTAAAGACACTGCAATGAGAAAAAGACGGGATTAAAATTTATATTTGTCGGGCTACGTATCGCTTGATTTGACAGCTGCGAGCGCGCTATCCCGAATTCCCAATCCGAATATCGGGGTGCCGGTCCGCGTGAACGAACGCGACGCGCCAGAGAGGGACGCACGATCCAAAGCAATGAAATTAGTCGCACATGGAGGGGAACACCGGGAACGTGACGTAAATAGAACAGGACAATCTAACGTATACTACGACTAGAGCGCATTAGAATTTTGATCCTTTATGTTTAATATTTTTATTTCTTTAACCAACACATTGCACTGCATAAAATTATTATAAAGCACTTTCCTTGGTCATGGATGACTAAGATTCCATTAAACACAAAAGATAAAAATCACAAACATGCTTTGTTAATTTAATATTAAAACATATTTAGTTTGGCAAATCAAGCGATACAACACATTTATGTACACATATTTTTTTGATAAGTAATAAGATAAAACTGACGTTGTTAATCGGATCAGGAACACACCACCGCCGTATAAACGTCAAACGCGCAGGCGCAGCGCGCGTTACTGACATACGCATGCGCAGCAAACTTCACTGCGCTCAACGTCACCCACTACGCCAAAATAAATAAATGCGATTTTAGAGGGTGGATAAATTTTAGTATTTTATCCAAGTGTAGTACTATGACTACATTAAATATAAAGGTTGCTTACATTATTAAGAGACGGTTAAAAATATAAAAAGTGTTAAATGTAATCTGAAACATTCACGACTCTAATTGGAGGGGCAGAGATTACAATTTTAATCATGCAGTTTACGCAATTTTCTATTAATTAAAAAAGTTAAACTGCCTTGTTATTGACGTTTGTTTAAGTACGACAACATTTGCGTAAGTCTAAGTGTGAGTTTCCACTTAGAACTATATATAACTCCTATACAAAAACATATTGTTTTGTCAGAAGAATGAGAAAGATGTCTTTGTACATGTGTTTCGGCAGTGGAAATCCACGGTATATGATTTAGCGAAATAAGCATGTAACGGTACATTTGCCAACTTGAGCTATAGTGCAGGTCAATGACCTCTAACTTAAATGAAACCGTGTGAGCAACATGAATGACTTTAATTACCACCTTCTCGTCATTGTTGCTAAAATAATTGAAAATTAAAATAAAGTAATTTAATAAATATTTAGTACTTGACAAAGGTTATCCAAAAAGTAACGCAAATTCAAACAGAAATATGTGTAATCTAATTGTAAACAATGACATTAAAAAACGGAAGTAGTAAATATAATGCAAAGATAAGATTTACTAGATCTCTCATCAAGGTAAGACGAAGGTGAAATAACAAGGTATATAATTTTAAGCCTATATTATACTAGCTGTCGCCCGCGACTCCGTCAGCGCTGAATTAAAAATGTAGCCTATGTGTTCTTCCAGACTACGGTCTATATGTATACCAAATTTCATCGAGATCCGTTTAGCCGCTCTGGAGATACACCGAAACAAACATCCATCCATCTGAACTTTGGCATGTATAATATTAGTAAGATTTGTTATCAATATAACATTTCAAGGATTAAAACATAAAAAATATAATTTACTTGTCTAATCTGTATTTCTGTTACAAAAAATTGCGTTTTCACTGAACAGAAACAATACGAATAGATAACGTAAAATCACTGGCGTCACGAATCAGTTACTGATATACTTATCATTGTATGACAATTACGTCAATATTAGGACATCCATATAATAACAGTGGATACAATTTATAGAAAAATCTACTTAGAAATGGATCTAATATATATGTTAAAACTATAATCTAATTGACAAGTTATATATGTAAGTAATCTGCATGTCCTGTGTTCGAATCCCGCCATGTACCAATATGTTTTTTGATTTCATAGTACATTTATCTGTCAAACTTACGATGAAGCAAATCGTGCTGTAACCTGCATATATATGTGAAGAAAATCAAAGATATGTGTGAAATCGATCTACACTGGGCCAACGTGATTGACTATGGCCTAGTCTATAACTTAGGGTAGGTTCCGAAATCTTCAGTGGAAACGTATAGTGAGGCAATGATGATGACTGTTTGCTTGCTGCCATCTAGTGTCGTGCTTAATAAATAACTTTGTATCGAAGACGTATCGATTAAGTCGTAATATGTTTGCTAAGTTATCAAACTAGATGGCGTGCTTTTAAAATAATACAACTAAAATTTAACGGTTCAATTCCCTATCATTTGTTTTGTTAAATAATTAAATTATAATTATAATAGTAATGGCGATATAAAATCGCTAGTAAATAAAAACAAATTTTAATAAATACCTCTGAACTTTTTTTTACAATGTTTCTGATTTCGATTCTTTTTAATTTTAGGCACGGGATTTTCACTGGTAGTATCATTATTTACTGTTAGGTCATAAATTTTAGATAACACAAACAACACTAATCCAATCATTTTTGTTTGAAATGATTAAGTCAAGTCTTATCTACAGTCCGATTTATCAACAAACATCAAGTTTTTTCCCTTCTTCTCCTAATTTTTACTTGAAACACTTGCTTTTTTATTTCTACAACAATGTCACAATCCACTGTATTCCGATAAATTTTATAAAAACACTCCGAGTTCAACATAACCTTTCAAACTGTGCACAACACTTCAATAATATTAACTAGACTCTAAAAGCTGATAGTTACCTAGTTATGATTACAGATGTGTCGCTGTTTATCTTTAGGTTATCGGCAATAAAATGACACCGTCTTGCATGCTACAAACGACCTAATAACTGCGTAGGTGAATCTTGAATAGCACTGCGCTCAGGGGGCCTTGGAGTGATTTTCTTAATAAGGCTAAAAATATGTGCCACACGCGGTAAAGCATTTTTTTATAATGTCAATGTCAAAAGCAAGTTGATAAGAAATCACGAGTGAAATTGAACCTTGAGCGATATGGACACAAAGATTTTAATTCAAGGTGCTTACTTGGAAATATTTATTGAGTGTATTGACTTCACTGTAACGGAGTTGTGATTCTATTAAAGGGCTATTGGGGAATGATTGGACGTGCATCGCTCAGGAAGCGAACACCCGATGTATAGCGGTAACTTACTATAAGGTATGATGAGTCGGGTTACGTGCATCTTTTTATGCTTTCTGAATTTAAAACTGTTTACTAAGAATGTAACTCATTAGTGTTACTTAATTACAAAAAGTATTACTTACATGTGTCATTTTCTTAATTATTTTTCAACAAGATTAAAGATTATGAAATTTTCTATTATAATAAATGTTAAAAATCAATCGGAACAAGTAAGTTCAGATTCAAACTACACACCAATCGTATAACGTAATTTAGAATTTCACTAAACGATTATAACAAGTACGAAATAAAAAATCCTTTTATTGAAAAATATACTAATAATTATGCGTTCTGAAATTAATGTGCAATTAATGGGTATGTTATGTATGTAATAGTTGCATTCGCAACATTTAAGCCTACGTGAGAGTCATCTATTGCATTAAGGTCGCCGCCTACTGCATTACGTACTGCAACTATTAATCTTGCCAATTTAACATTATACATAAACATCATTATCAGCGTTTGTCTGCCTGCTGCTGGGCAAAGAATATGTCATACAGGATTCTCATTAATTTCATATTCCCTATCTCCGTACTATGATTTATGAATTGACACGCCTTCTCTTCTTTATAGCACGGTTTTCCACTTAAGTGAATTCTTATCTCACTAATAACATAAAAGCGAATGTTTGGATGGATGGATTTGTTCGAAGGTATGTCCCAAACGGCTGAACGGATCTCGCTGAAATTTGGCATAGATGTAGAGCATAGTCTGCAAAAACACATAGGCTCTTACTCACTTTTTATTAATTCCGCGCGGACGAAGTCGCGGGTGACACCTAGTTTAAAAATAATAGCGACAGACCAATCGTTGCAGTCTTTTGTTTGTAAGTTCGTGTTTTTGGTATACAAAAGAAATATTTCAATAATGTTATAATATCAGCGCCATCTATCAAAAAGATGAGCATCAATAAGTTACTATCACTATAGTGGTTACTTAACTTGATGTCAGCCGCTTACTCGTCCTCCTTATGTAAAAATAAACAGTATTGCACTTATATTTTTTCCGTTGTCCAATATAAGATATTGATAAGATAAAAGACAAGTTTTTTTTTATCTAGTGATATCCTAAGAGACTGCTATGGACGTTCACCTGATAGGAATACACGTACAAGTTGCATCTAGTATATATAAATCCATACATCTCTTACAACACAATACATCCATTTGATCTACTGCCCTTAGCGTCGCTCACGAAAAGATTAATTTTAATTAAAAAATCTAAGTTAAGATCCACACTATTCTTTCAAATATTTCAAATTAAAACGCGACACGTCCGGAAAAGTCGGATGTAATTTAATGAAATGTTTGTAATTATCTGTAATGACCGTGTACGTGAGTTTCAAGGTTTTAATTACTTGTCACAAGCTTCTAATATCGCTTAAGGCAATAAAACCTTGTCTGACTACGAGTGTTCGTAGGAACTTGTAATCGTTTATCGTAACATCCGCAGCGTCTTACTTTAACTTGAATTAACTTGATTAACAGAAAACACGCAGGACAATTAAGGACTTTCCAAACTGCTATAAAATGTTTTGTTTCGGATTACATACTTAATTAGAAGTTAGGGTATGATGATGATGTGGTTACTAATTTTTGTATTACTTTCATGGTATAGTACACTATATTATGATATTACACGATGGCTCATTTTAACTAAGATAACTTAAAAGTAACCAAGTAGAATTGTAAATATAAAAAGCCTATGACTCATTGGTAACCTAATTATGCTTATTTTAGTTTAATGAACTTAAAAATCAGAGCTGGATGAGAGTGGTCGAGGATCGTGCTCAGTGGCGTACAGGAGAGGCCTATGTCCAGCAGTGGACTAGTATAGGGATTATGATGATGATGATGATGATGAACTTAAATATATATATATCAATAAACTTAAACACTTACCCATCATTCTACTGACTTCCTTTTCAGTCATAGTCGTCGTCGATGTCTTTCATGGCGTGATATCTGCGTCAAAAAAAATATTATGTTAATTTATGGAATATTAAATGCTTCGATATTTGTCAGCTTTATCACGAATACATTGCCATTCGTTTGTGTATTTTGACCATTTTTCTAATATTATAAATGCGAAAGTTAGTTTTAATGTCTTATCTCCGTTTTAAAAGGTATGTTAGGATTATGATAATCTATTTGAGATTGCCTTTACCTCATTTCTGTTCATTAAAATTTAAAACTACGAAATTTGGTTAACTCTTATCGTGGCAAGATATAATACTTTTTGAAGAAAAGCAAAAAACTAAGTTAAAAAGGATTTTATAGTGATCGTTTATTTTTATAAAGTTGTATGTATGGTATACTATACAAAATGAACATAAGGGATAAAACATACCTACATTAATACGAGGACATTAATATTATACTCTTGAACTTTTACCTACAGTTTCAAGTTACATCATTTTCCTTATCGAAATTTCTTCCTGTTGCGCAGATAGAAGATTCTAGATTTTACCATATTATTGACTAAACTTGGTATATGAATTCCAAAAGATGAAAATTCATCAAAACGTGGAACAAATAAACACGTCTATTTGAAACAATTCCATAGATCGTAATAGTTCTATTGTTGGCGTCTATAAATTGTTACAAAAATTGAAACTAAAGTGATGTTACATAACTTAAAAGAAAGTATCGTTTTATTAATCAATCTTTCGTTAACGAACGCGTATAAGAGCGAACTGTGCCTTATAGAATTAAGTCACGCAACTTTAACTTCAGCAAAAAAATTTTTGCAAACTATTGTATGCATCGTATGATATGAATTGCACACTGTATTGTGCATTTCCGTTGATTATTGCAATTGTTACCATTAGAAAAACTTCAGTTAATAATTCGTATATGAACGTTATTCCAGAAATTGCGAAAATAAATACAGTAATTCTTTACATTTTTAAAGAACAATTTAAATTGTTTAAGATAGATATTGTACTTTTTAAACAATGGAAATAAATTATCTTGGTTTTCAAAAAATATTTAATTCAAGTAACAGATTTAGAAGCTTTACAAAAAAATATACGAGTATATTTCCTGTATAAATTAAAAACCAATAAACTGAAATGTTGAAAATGTTGTGCCACTCAACAGAATTGCGATCTTGAGTAATCAATAATGCTGACGGAACCTAGTGGTACCGCAAAACACGAATAACTCGTACCACTATAGTAATAAGCTTTAAAATTACAAATTCATACATTCTTAAAGTAATGGATTAACCTAAAAGATGGTACTTTCTTTGATACTATTTTTTACATTATATTACATTGTAATAAATATAATCTAACACTATATTACCTGAATTTTTAGCTGCTTACGCAAAAAACACCAAAATTACTACAGATCACTACAAATTACTATCACATACACTAAATAAAACGAACAGAACTGTATAACATTACACTTATTATAAATAACTTAGAGAATGAAACAGTCATCGTTTACACTTAAAATATTTTTGGTTTTCTTTCGGTTTATGTGATTGTTAATTTTAAAGATTTTTTGGTTCGCCGTGAAGGCATCACGGCGAGGGTTGAAGACGGGCCGCGAAAAGTGCACGACCGTCGCCGACTATGGCCGAATGCAAATACCGATCAGGGACGCACTCACAATGTTCTAAATTAGAAAAAGTAGAAATTACACTTAAAACTTTTTAAAACTATCATTAAAAATCAAATTTATTTATAATTTTTGTTACTTAAGGCATCCAATCCAAATAAAAATATAACGCAGTTATTTCACAATATATTCTAAGAGAATCATCAAAATATCTAAAACATGTGTTGTCTAAGAAAAACATAACATTAAAATTAGAATAACTTAAGGAGAATTTAACCTGAAGCGAAAATTACGTAAAAATTATTTCCTACTATCCAAATCTATAATCCGACTCTGTTCGTCCCCGCATTATGGCCGTAGCCTTACCGTGACGCCATGTTTTTCACGCATGCGCTTTAATTTTCCACCATAGAACATTACTAAACTTCTTACATTTCCCATAGTAAATATGAGTATTGCCACATAGAAAAATAAATTAATTTCCAACATCAATTTATTCTTTAATTAGATATTAAAATGTTCAATGGTTTTCCAATTAAAATATTTCGAATTAATGTATATTTTCTAAAAGCAAAGGCATATGGTAATATTTTTTGGATATGTTGCGCGCGCAGGTCAGTGCCCATGTCCTACTCTAAGCACATTGACAGTGCAGGGGGGTGGGAAGAAGGAGGGATCGATAGAGTGACGTCATATCAGTGACGGTCGGTTAGGCCGGAACAACTAGCTCACGCTCTTGTGAAAAGATCTTTATTTAAGCGGAAATATAAGCTTCTATTTTGAGTTGAAATGAGCTTATGAATGGAAGCTTTTGTAGATAAAGGAATAGTTATTATATATATCATCATACTTAAGTAGTAAATTACAGTATGTAGCTAAAACTCGTAGATTTAAAATTTGTATGCTAAGCGAAAAAGTCATATTTTTATAACTTGTCACGAGCATATCTTCAGAAAGCTTTGCCGGGAATTTTCATTCAACCTTTGAATGGAGTCCAATTAAGTCTTGGCCTAAATAATAAGATGCTTATGATGAAGGTCCATAATGTCTCAAAGATATTCAGAATATTCTAATTTGTACGAATATTGCGTACAGTAGTATAGCCTATACATATACTAAATAAAAAAAATTGAACGAAAAAACATTTTGAGAGAGATACTTTAAGTAAAATCAAATTATTTTTTTTTGTATTTTTCAATTGTATTATAGGATAATTTTATATTAATTTCGTTATTGTATAAAAACAGTGACAAACAACAACATATCAATTGGAGCGCGGCATACGAGTACAATCTACAAGGCCGGTAACTTGCCCCATAAGGAGCAGGCATTCAATGGTAATGCTTGGCAGCGCAAGCACGACGCACAAGCATACACTTTGACGTATAACTCAAAGGAGTTGGTATACGTATGTAAATTTTGATTTAGGTATAGATTATAAAAAGCATATTCAGTATAACAAAGATGGTTACTTCGTGACATTTTGATTACGTTTATGAAATATTTAAAGTTATGAAGCAAATATTTTTGCGGGAAAACAGTTCGTAGTAAAGAAGTAGATTTAATTAATTATGTTGTCTATACGTATTACTTTTCAACAATAGAGTTAAATGATAAAAATAATAAGTTTGATTTAAAATTTTATCAGTTTTGAAAACTTACTTTTGTATGTCACAATTCCAAAACACTATAACATAGAAACACAAACAAAAACACAACAATTTCACTTTCAATATTTTCTATTAATAAACTTTGAACACAGACTATAACATCAAATATTTCCAGTCGACTGAATTAAGAACGTGCTGAAAGACTTTGAAATTCATTCAGGTAATTTCCGCGAAAATCTTCCGTAGTCGCATAGTAATAGAGATTAGTTTACGAAAACCTAACTGCGTCTAAAAACTGGCAGACGAAAACTCGTTTTGTACAAACTGATAGCAATAATTAATACGAATGAGCAATTGTTAATTGAGTTTAACCTACATGTTGTATCCAGTAAATACAACAATCAAACCTTGGTATAAATTCCTAGCAAACTTAAAATCATATTAACCAATGAAGAAAATAGTTAATTTTTTAATATCAAAACATATGAATATTCGTAACACGCGTCAATTCAAATTTAAAAATGGAACATTCACCACACTAGCCAATTAAAAAAACAAAAAGAGTCAGTTTGGGACTAAAGATAATTAAGACACACGGAATTAAGATCAATTCGTAATAATTACTTGATCACGTAATGGAAGCGTACCGATTCGCGCGTACCGACCGCCAAACAAGATCCTCAACTGTTTTATTTTAGAGCTCAGTCGCGGCGCCGGCCGTGAAAACGATATAAAGGTGCAAGCGAGTATATAGCACGCTGAGACACCGCTGACAAAACTACAATGTCGTTCGTTGACTGCGATTGAATGCTCCATATACATCACTAGTTCCTTACCTATTACCGCTTTGTTATATTGACAACTGAACACAACAATTATTCACGGAAATTGTAATAATGTCGTATGATGAATGTGCACTCTCATTATACTCGTATTCTGGTTCTGTAACGTGTGTATATTATTAGAATATAGAGTCGCGTGTTTAAGTTGAGTTTAATTTGAATTTAATAAAATTGAATTTAATAATAAATAAATAGATGTAGTTTTTTATAAAACATCATATAATTATTTCGCGATTTCAAAATCACAGTTATTAACAACAAACTCGCCTCAGCAATGTTTCCAACTTCTAACTAAACTAACGTTTAATTTCATCTAATTTACGCTGATAATGGCATCATTCAACTACAAAAAGTTTTAAATGACTTTTTATGATAGATTTTTTACGATATCTCAAGTGCAATGTCCTTTAGATGCAGAAATTGTCACGAATGATTCTGAATACCAATAGGTTTTGAATACGCTTTGAGTTGAAGTCAATTGACAAATTTTTGTAGTATTTTGAAGAGTATATATTTCTAAATAAAAAAAGCAGAATGGAATAAATAATATTATAAGTAAACTTATTTAACAGATACATTTATAACTTGATTTAATTTTATAAATCTTACAAAGGATAAACCAAAAATTAAAAACACCGGGTAGAGTTCGGTCCTCTTATTAACTTTTGAAGGTTTTTTTTCGATTTTAATCACGTTTTTAATTTGAAATACGTGAATTTTAGTAAATAGTAAGTGTCATAAAAATTATTATTATATTTAAAAATTGACATTTAGATATAACTGTCAAGAACTAAATGTTACTCATGTAAAATGGATATGATGATGGATATGAGTTTGTAAAATGGAAACAGAAGTTGCGTTTTAAAAACACAAAGTCAATGCACTTACTATAGAGTGATGAGTCACTTATGATGCAAGACTAATTCTAAACCTTAAAATTATTAAGCTAGGTTTCCACAACCACAATATGTGTACTAACATATTGTTATAAGACGAGGTAATCTTTTGAACATGTTCTCTGTAATGTAAACACGAATAAAATACTTCACACGAGACACAAATATTTATAAACATATTTATTAAGAATTGTAATCTTTTATCAGGGAGAAAGTAAATATATTTGGTGAGCAAATTAATTATATAATTATCATAGACTAAATATTTGTCGACTGGCTCGGTAGTAGGCGCTGTGGCGAGTGTGATGTGTATCACGTTCTCACTTGCAGTCATTACTAGCAAAAGATAACGTTTATAATCGATCCGATATATAATCTAATATAAAGGGAACTTACCAGTCTAAAGGACATATAAATATAATAAAAATAAATACAAACATGACCTTAATATGCCTTTTTATCTATACAGGTAGGATTTTAAATTATAATTATTGATAATAAACAAAACCTATATATTATAAAAAATATTACTTATTAAATCTAAGTACCTACACTTTACTGTATTGCAAAGAAAAACATTTTAAATCAGACTCTTTCGTGAGGATCTTCTCCCTTCAAACGTTTCATTTTGAAATGGCTTCCACTAGTACTAATTAAAAAAATAAACAAAGAGATTGAACATAGCCATACAGTTGTTACTAACTAGCAAAGATCGGTAACACGATATGACTGTTACATACTACATATGTATTGCATTGCCAATTGATGTAATCAAATCAAATTGATCGTGTCAAATTGTTCGTGATTCAAATTTTATTGCAAGCTTCATCCTCACTGTATTGTTCACAATTGTAACTTTATGTGTTTGGATTAAATATTCCTTTAGAAAATGATATTGTTTTCAATATTTGAAGAGCAAACACGACGCTATCTTATCTTTACATCCACATTAGTAGGAGCAACTCGTTGCTGACTGCACGCCTGTGCTCGATATCAAATGTGCTGTGAAAATTGTGTCTGTTATAGTGTGTGCCTCTATATAATAATAATGCAATAACGTCTATTAAACTTTTATTAATAAATATTCCACTATGACTGAAGGTACGGTCGATATTCACGAATTAGAGAAATTAAGGTTTGTACCTATTACTTGTATTAACCGTTGTAATGTAAATAATACTATGACATGGCTTTGTGCTTTGTTAGAGGATCGAATCCTGTATCATTCTTCATTAAAAATTGCATTTTAATAACGTACTTTTTGTAATTGATATATTGCATATATGTTAACACTTTACATACTAAAATATTATAAACGAATAATTAACTAAAATATATTATTAAAAGGAGTCCCAAGATACTGGCTGCGTTCCCCCTTTAAACCTATACTAATTCCTTTTCCGAGGTTGCTGCCAAATAATTTATTAAATAAATTATAATTATAACTGCTTGTAGATGTTAATAGCCTTTAGTTGAAAATGTAACTGTTATATTAGAATACAGAATTCGATTTTTAAATTGTATTCCGTGTATATTGAAAAAAGATCGTATATTCCTCATGCATATTAAGCATTTTAGTTTATTAAATGATTGTTATCTTATTTCAGACCTAACACAGACTCGAATAAAGATATTAGTAACAATACACAAGCTGTTAGTGCTGAATCACCACAGAAATGGAGCATTATACTGGAGCCAGCTCTGGCTGGTGCGATGATGGCCATAAATCTAGGACAGACTTCTTTGCAGAACTTCTATTTAAGGACAGCTTGCACTGTCGACTTAGGATACTCGTTAGATGTATGCGATAGAGGTGTAGGTGAAGAATTTAGAACTGCTGAGGTAAGAAATAATTCAAGAACTCGAAAAGTCACCGACTTACTTAACATTATTAATGACTATTCGTACAAAACATTAATTTTTTGTCGCTCAAGAATTAATAAAGAGAGTTAAAATTCTCAAAATGTTCATGTACCTTACACTCACATTTTCAAGTACCTACTTATTTGATTTTATTGCTTCCAGGCAGCCAGTCAAATGGTGGTCTCTGGTGTAAATATTAGTCGAAGTTTCGTGGGTTGTCTTCTTTCGACTATTGTCCTATTATTTGTGGGACCATGGAGTGACTGTAGTGGTAGACGGAAGCCGTTACTCATCATGCCTCTGGTGGGAATGTGTGTCATGACGACTGGAGTTCTTCTCATGCTGACCTTTCCTGGTGCTTCGACGGTGCAAGTGCTGTACGTCGTGCAAATTCCGATGTCGTTAGGCGGCAACTTTGGATTACTTTTGGCTGCTTCATTTAGTCATGTTGGTGATGTAAGTATAGACATGTGTTTCTTCCTTGCTTCTTTCTCCTCTCACTTGCTCTACTTACAAACTTCCTCGAATATACAAACTTATTAAGTTTTTTTTTCTGTATTTGCCTTAAATGCAATATTTTGTAGTTTATTAGCAGGATTTAATTAATACAAAATCTGAAAAATAGACTAAAAATGCAAGTTGCATTGTGGACTAATAAAAGTTCTTCCTCGCTTAGTGACCAAAATAATAATCTTAAGTTCTGTACCACTAACAAAAAGTATCGTATCTGGGAAGCGAACGATGAACTATCTTCATAAGAGTTAGGACTCTCCTTGGCTACAAGATCGCTGAGTCACGAAAAATGAAACGGTGAAATCTATCGATAAACTTTAAAGAAAGCAAAAGTGTTTCATATCGTAATATAGAATTTCCGCTCAATATATCCGACTTTGCACACGTATGTGATATAACAGATAATGTAAGTCCATAAACATATACTACACATGACCAATGTTCAGTCAATTGTGCATATCGTGATTTTGCGATTCAATGACAGTGCCCTCAATAACCTACATGTACTTAGTATATGTACTCCCAAATTTCCAAAACATTACCGCAATCAAGGCGGTTTGTCCAAAAACCTGGAGAAAACTAAAATAAAAATTGTAGCCAAAAGACAAGCAACAATTTTTGACAAATATTGGTCTTTACAAGTGGTTATCAAACGTTTCAATTATTGCCCAACAAGCGCGTGAGGAAGACGATGACGTTTTTAGTCCATGCGAGTCATGACATAATCCGCTCTTGACCCCCCAAGGGCGGATATGCGTAGACATTTTCATCACATGGAATGAAAAGGTAACGCATAACCGAAAACCGCGATATAAGGAAATGTTTCAGTTTTACGCACCTAATCTCTTACGTTACTAGCGACTTAGATAAAAGCAATTAATCGATGTCCGTATCGCATTCGCCTCTCGATCATACAATGATATAAACTGCTTTGTATCATTTATAATTTAATATTTGATTAAAAGTATTGATGCTACACTATCTGTTTGGCAAAAAATCTGATCCAAAATAAAAGTAAAATTTTACAACTACCCGGACATTCAAAGTGTCCTATATTTTAGTAAAATGACAACTTTTTGTCGATGTGAATTGAAAAGTACTTGGTCTCGTGAAGTAGAACGTTCCATTGTTGCATAAATAAAAAATAACACTAGCGATGTATTAGTTTTAGCACCGACATGTTAGTAGGATCACATTAAAAGAAAAGAATCATTTCAAAGGATGTACGGCAATTATTTTCGGTGTAACATTTTGTTCATGTAGTTTTAATCATCTTATACATCTTGTACTTTTTTAATTTACCAAGAAAAAGCGAAAAAGGTGGCCCTTTTAATTTGACTCCGATGACCTCTTTTTAGCTCTGTACGCGATTCGATATATTATGTTCGTTATAACGTGATGACTGGTACTGTTTCAGATATGTCACGCGAGCGGGCGTGACGTAACACGGACGATGGGCAGCCACCGTGCGGCCATACAGATCGCGCACGTGCTGGGCGCTGTATGTGGCCCCTTACTTTACCGTCAGCTAGGCTTCTATGGCGTCTTCCCACTTGTACTGTTACTGCAGGTAAGCTACTACGCTTACTAATATTTTCTACGACCACAAATATGCATATTTTCAATTGGCCGAAGCATCAAACAAGCATTTTATTTCATGTTAGGCAAAGACATATTTTAATAAGACATCTGCCATTCACACATTACATCTTATGTATGTATGTATATCTTGGGTTAAGATGTTATCTTTATTTATATAATGTAAGAGCTTGTTGTTTGAAATAATCCGGATCAAGCCATCGAGGCCGATACTTGTTTGGTTGATCTCTAAAGAAAATATTAAACAAGCTATGACTAAGTTGTACTTAGATCATACTACTTTATCTTAGATTTTTATACAAGATTTTCGTTATTTTCTGATGTTAAGTATAGTGTTTCATTCGTAAAATTTTCCGAGCTTTGTTTTTCAAATCATTCTGACTATACATATCATCATCATCATCAGCTCACTATACGTCCTCACCGAGGGGCTCGGAGCCTACCCTAAGTTAAGGGTGATTAGGCCTATACATATACATAACGAAATTTAATATAATACTAAACCGTATCTTTAATCTACATTCATAAGAAGGCCAGCGTAGACACTGGTATTGGTTTTCAGTATTGCTAGTAAATAAGAATTGCAGATTTCCTCAATAAATTTAATTTGCTTGTACCTAGTGTACTAACTTCCTTTTATGTTGCCAAGGTTGTTTAGAAATAACGATATTACTTTGAATTATCCGTCAAACTGAAAAATGTATTTTTGCTTATATCATACCTCCTTTGTTATACATAATACTTAGGAATAATTCCCAGGTAAAAAAATATTATGCTTATGTTTATTTTAATATTGAGTATCACTTACGGAATATTACTAAATATTAATTTGTCATATTTAATTTATGTTCATTTAACTTAAGTATTTAAATACTGCATTACAAATCTATTACAATGAATGCTTTTTCATTTTCAGTTTGCATCATTGGTGTATGTGATAGTAGTTATAAAAGATGTAAATGTGAATAACGACAACAAAGTGTCGGTGTTCAACTGGCGGCTGCCACTCAATGCGTTCCAATGTCTCGTGCGACGGCGCGACGGCTACAAGAGGACCATCATACTGCTCATGCTGATTGTTGCCCTCGGAGATCGAATGCTGCTCTCTGGTAAACTGCCTTTCATTCACTCATACCTCACCGATTGTACTGTGACAGACCAGACAACTAAGTACTGATTCTCCAGCCCATCTGTTAATACACTTTCTGATATAAGGCTCGCTGTTGACGGACACGTAAAGGGGCCATTTACATTCATCAGTTAATTTAAGATGAAATTTTGATGGAAATCTGATGATGGTATAAAACCGAAGAACAAAAATATTAAACAAAGGACATTCACTAAGTAATAAATAAGTTTCATTCATTTGTTTTGCTATTGTTAAATTGTGATACAAGTATAAGATATGAATCTTGTTTACTGCTAAAGTTTTGCTCACAAAGGGATAGTATTCCGGTTAATGAACGAATACAGTACTGTAGCAAACAAACTCTATTCATTCTTTTTAGGTCAAAAGTCATTTTAAATGTGTGATACCTACTACTTTAGCTTGTTTTCGTGCATATAATAACAATGCGTTTCCGATTGCATTTAAATTTATTAGCAAAAATTAATTAATTTATGAAAGACGAGAATACTTTTATGAACTAAACTTTACATAAATTATGATGCTTATGGTAATACATCTCTTACATAATTTACTTTCACTTTTAAAAGTGCATTAAATATGTATATTTAACTACAGTTCCCGTAAAAGCAAAGCAAAATTAATCAGAAAGAATTAATCTGGGTCGGTCAGATCGCGTACCGTTTTCCGCTTTCCATTACACTGGATTTAGGTCAAACTAGCTGCTCGTACGGCAGTTCAAAGAAATGAAAATTCTCTCTAAGGAATATTTTATAGATAAAGTGCTTGAAAAGCAAGAAATGTACTTAGAATTTATAAACCTTTTAATAGTACTTTAAAACTACAAGTTTAGATTATATTAGCATTTAAACTAACAGTCACTTTGGATTTCCAGTTCCCAAATTGTATCACATATATCCTATTCTCTTTGAAAAAAAATAACGAAACCAAATATGTTTAAATACAAGTATTACGTCAGTTCTAACCCACAGTAAACGCTACAAGGCTAAAATAATATTATTGTTTTTGCTACATGCTTTCGTTCTTCAAGTGCAGATGTCCTAATGGTTCTTGTTTTATTTCACAGCGGAGGTGCTCCTGGCCTACATGTTCTACAGATACAAGTTTCATTGGGACGACGTCATGTTCGGATCTTTCCTCGCCTACAGAAACATTATCAGCTTTCTTGGTTAGTTAGTCTATGACTTTTTTCAAGTAATTAATCTTTTATTTAAAAAGTATCCAATAATTTTCAAGTATGATATTGTCAGCAGGTCCTTTTCCTTGGACTAGGAAATGTACTTATAATTTTTCGAATCTCTCGTTTCATTCTGCCGAAACCGGTAAAACGGATGCAAATGATAATCATGTTAATATCATTTTATAAACGTACTAAACCAATACTGATTATATTTCAGGTACACTGTTAATTCTAACGGTACTAAAGCGACGACTGCGACTATCAGATGAAGTGGTGGGCGTACTCAGTTGCATGTCTTACATGCTAGCCACCTCTGGACTTGTGGCCGCTTCTACTACACTAGTTGTATTTTTACGTGAGTATACTTACACACTTACTTACTTTTCCTAGCATCACTTTTGACTCGGTCCATGAGGACTGTGGTTAAAGTTGCATTTGAAGCAGCATAAACAAAGCTAATACTGAGCTATACTTTAATCCACTTTGAATTGAATTTGAAGCGCCAATAGCTAATGGTTAAGGGTACAGATTTCCAATCACGTGATCAAGAGTTCGAATCTCTATTCCCATCCCATTCGACTATTCTTACAAGCATGTGTGTATGCATTGTACAAGCATAGAGCTTAGTTAGTTAGCTTAGCTTAGTTTAGTTAACATTGTATTAAAAAAATAACTTTTCTGCAGTAACCAATTTTGCAATAACCTTTTTGTAGTAACCGTTTTGTAATATCAAGATGTTTTCGTTTGTTACAGTTCCTCTAATCGGTATCATAGCGCAAGGCTCTCAAGTCGTACAGCGACCAATACTCAACAGACAGATTCTACCCACTGAACAAGGTATTGAATTTTTTTATGTGAATTACGTTAACGTAAATAACATGGAAGATATTATGAAGACGGTATAATTACTAGTTTATTTGCTTATTTATTTAGCAAATATCGAGAAAATTATTCTAAAACTTACATGATATATCATTGACAATTAAAAAGTAAATACCTACAAGTATATTCTAGTGTCTCAGGCGCAATACCAAAGATCTGTTTATTAGTAATGCGTATGACAAAATACAAAAAAATTATCATTACTTACCTTGATTAAAATAATCATATTAACTTAAAACGATTCAAATTTGAAATACTAACAAACCCCCTATATGTTAATTTTACTATTTTAATTTTTGCACGACCTTACACAACAAATAAATTAACTATACTGCAATTTTCGGCGCAGATGACATAATGAATGAGTCAATTTATTTACTTTAAGATTAATGTGAATCAACGGCTTTATATCTAACTAATGCTGCAAAGATTTCAGTGACTCAGTACTGCACTAAGAGTAGTTTAATAGTCAGACTTAGTATAGACTTATACTTAGGAGTTTAGTCACCATATGGTTCTAAGTACGGTATTAGGTAATATATTGTTCATATTTTTTTCAGGTAAAATATACAGCGTATTGGGTGCATTAGAATCTGCAACACAAACATTTTCGTCACCTCTGTATTCATTGCTCTACACAAAAACGGTGTCAACAAGACCAGACGCGTGGCTAGCTCCCGGCATCATACTCGCTGTTTTCCAAATGCTTTCGTATTCACTTACAAGAAGATTGGGTATTAAAACTACCAAAGACATCGCTCAAATTGAAAAGAATGCTTCTCTACCAACAGATAAGTCAGTTAAAGAAAAGGATGAATCTCCTCCTAAAGAAGAACCAAACGGAACACAACTAGTTGGAGATGAGACTGTTATTAATAAGGTGTAAATAATTTGTATCGAATTATATCAAATCTATTTTTATAAAAGACGTTTTTTATTCATGGTATAAAAGTTTCCGATCGATTTATAACGCATTCTATTGAAAATAATACATTACAACTTTGAACTGGAAAAATAAAATAGCAAAAAAACAGTCAGGATCCGATATTGATATGAATGATAAGCTATCTAACGACACTTTTGTTTTGCAACTTTTCACTTTTATATGCACATTTTTCATTTTAAAGTGTTTTGTTGCATTTTCTGCTTCCGTCTGACAAATGTAATCGATCAAATCTGAATTGACATTTATGATATTTGGAAAACCAATGATATTTACCATTAACCATAATACAAGTGTATGTATGTTTATTACCTACTAACCTACTAACATTATATTTAAAACAATAAATGAGTGGAGGCACGCCACATATATAATGTCTAATACAACAGCAACATCGTTGTGTTAAGCAAGACAATAACGTATTTTATAACATTTCATTTACACTTTTCTTAGCAACAAAACACTTACACGTGGATCATCGAGACCAATCAATATTTTGTATCGCAAACACTCCTAAAGTAATTAAGTTATAATTTATCATATAAGGTCATCAGATTTTTTCATTAAAATGCATACGATAACTTTAACAAATCAATAATTCGTTTTTGCGACAGGTGTAGAAATAAATTTATGATATTTAAAAAAAACTTATGGCATCATACATCATACTCGTAAAAAGACCGGGATATAATAAAAAAATGTAACCATGTAACGCAAGTGGTAGACGCTACCAACAATAACATCAGTTCCACTAATGGGCCAGCTCGCCCAGTGAAATACCACGACCGCACAGACGACAGCCGTGAAGACAAAGCAATTTCACCATTCTACTGACGAGTGTGCGTGCCGAAGGACTATTTATTGGACCCTTTTCTATCCTACTCATTTTTTATAAGGTACGGATGGGACGGGGAAGTGGATATGACGGAGGGAGACGCATATGAAGAGGAAACGTACTCTTTCTATGCGTGTCCTCCTCCGTTGAAAGGTAGGCAACGCATATGCAATTGAGGATGTCTATGAGCAGTGGTTGCTTAGCTATTTTGGCGAATTCAGGTGACCGCTTACTCGTTTGCCACCTTACTCTATAAAAATTTACAATTGCTTTTGTTCTAATTCTTGGTTGAATATACTATAATATCTATTATTTTAGGTATAATTAACACTTCCAGTATCAGTATTAAGATCTATATCGACACAAATAAGGATTATTGCAATTATCAATAATCGCTTGCCAATTAAAATACTCGATTGCTATTTAATTATAAGCGTTTTGATTTTAAATTAAGTATCTGTATATTAATCATTTCTTTTGCAGGCAATATTTCTTAAAATTCTCTCTCCAATAGTATGGCGACAAAAGTATAAAAATTACGTTATACTAGTTGTCGCCTGCGACTCCCTCCGCACGAAATACAAAACAAAAAGTTAGTAGCCTATGTGTTCCTTCAGATTGTGTTCTACATATATGCCAAATTTCAGCGACATCCAGACAGCCGTTCTGGAGATAATTTCTAATAATCCATACACCAAAACATTTGCATTTATGTATAATATATAGTGAGATTTATTAATAGGAGCATCCTCTTTGACATAGACTGTATACAGTAGGCTTTCTTCTTAATAATAGTGTACAACATTTCGATCAGTAGCTTATTTTAATATTTTATATAAACAATTGCCGGTCTAGCACTCTAGAATAAAACTCATAAAAACAAGATTACTGGCGTGTTTCTAATATTACCTTTTACATGCCTACTATCTAATACCTACTACAATAGCTTATTTGTTTCAAATGTTTAGCTAATTTGTCAGTAAGGTAAAAAATATTTTTTTAAGTTTGTTTCGCATTTCAATGTTGTGGTATTTATCGAGTTACGTGAGGAATTTGATATTTGAATGACGCGTTGAGATAATACCTTATGCTTTGATTTATTTTTAGGCATTTTTAATTTTATCTCTATTGCAAATCTTTTTTATTTCAATTTACCATTACCCTAAAGGAAACACTCAATCAGATTATGTTTAGATCAGATAAGATGAAAGTATAAATACACGAACACGAAATCATCGCTCATATTTTCAATTAAATTAATGTGTTTAATTATTTTCAAGTGATAATACCATTTATCAATTAAATTATGTAAGTATTGACAAAATTAATTTTATTTAAACTCAAAAGGATGTGTTTTGATGGACAAAGACGCAAATAGACATCACAGTCCACGGGCAGTAGAAATAGCAATCTTCTTAATTTTGTTGAATTATGAACTTAGGCCACTCAGAATTGGTGTTATTGGATTATAAACATTATTACTCCCAGAACTGGTTGACAGTAGTAAAATTAATATGAAACTTTCTTATTTACAGAATGCAGCGCCCTAATATGGATCCTCGCTTACCAGGTGCCCCAGTACAATCCGGTGGCTTCCCTTCAAGACCTAACCCCTGTTTCGGACCTAGGCAACACCCTCTATCACCTTGCTTCGGACCCTCTGCGGCACCGGCGAGGCAACCCTTCGCATCCAACCCTTGCCTCGCCCCTGCACCGACACTCCGCAAACCGAATCAAGAACCCGGTTTACCACCGCGATACGGGCCCTGTTTCTAAAACTATTATAAAACTTAATTATTATTGTAATTAGGAATCTCGACTTGTCTCGTCCGTCTCGGTCGTTTTGTAAATTCTACCATGTGAGCTTAAAGTTTAAATAAATATTTGTTAATAAATATTTTAACCGACTTCAAAAAAGGAGTAGGTTCTCAATACGTCTGTATGTTTTTTTTTAATATGTGTTGATACCTCGTAACTCCGCCCCTGGTGCTCCAATTTAAAAAAAAAATATTTTGATCGAAAGTTTTTGCTTTTTATTAATTTTAAATGACTAGAAGTTGTTGGAGTTTGTAATCTGCTGACATGTGCACTGGCTGGTTTTAGTCTGGTTTTAGTTTATGAAAAAAGGTGTACATCTGTCATACGTAAAATATTTTTTCATTGTCTTTCATAAATATATTTTCCCAAGTAAACTTGTATTATTCATCAGGTTATGGGCCCAGCCCAGCTCAAAACCTAGAAATATAAAACGTTTTTATAATTATGGCACAGTCGGTGCGAATAGAGTTACTGGACAAAGATAATTATGAAACGTGGAAAATACAAGTACAGGCATTGTTAACGAAAACGGAAGGTTGGCAATACGTTAGTGGAAGAATTGTAAGACCTTGTTCCACACCAGGAAGTGAAAAATTGACAGATGAATGGTTAGCAGCAGACGAAAAGGCGAAGGCAGATCTGATTTTATCAATTAGTCCGAGTGAGTTAAAGCACGTAAGAGGGTGCGTGACTGCACGGGATGTGTGGTTGAAACTCGAGTCTATATATGCATCAAAGGGACCTGCTCGTAAAGCAATTTTGTTAAAGCAGTTAACTTTACATCGCATGCAAGAGGGCGAGGATGTGCGTGAGCATATTTCTAAATTCGTAGACGCTGTAGACAAACTCAATGACATCGGAATCGAAATACATAAGGATTTGTTGTCAATATTGTTATTATATAGTTTCCCAGCGAGTTACGACAATTTTAGATGCGCTATGGAATCTCGCGACGATTTAGCTGCGGTAGAAATATTAAAGATAAAAATTTTGGAAGAGGATAGCTCGAGGCGACAGAATAATAATGAAATACAGGGAGCTATGTATGCGAATAAAAATGGGCAGAAAAATAAGTGTTACAAGACCAAGACCGTCAATACTGAAAAAAAGTCTTTCAAGAACGACAATAATGTATCTAATTCCGGTGGTAAATTCAAGTACAAATGTTTCAAATGCCACAACTATGGTCACAAAGCGAGTGATTGCAAAGTAAAGAAAATAAGTCATGAGTTAGGATGTGTAACTGAAGAAAGAGACAATTATGAAATGTTTAATTGTAGTGATTTAACAAAAAATTCAACATGTAATTCTTTTATTTTAGATAGTGGGTGCACATCTCATCTCTGTAAAGATCCTGAAATTTTTGGTAAAGGGGTTTTGCCGTATAATGCGAAATTGAACTTAGCTAGTAATCTGTCGACAGATGTCAAAGGTAAGGGTGATATTTATTTCGTAGCTTCAAATGATCAAGACAAGCGTAAAATTATGCTTCGCGATACTTTGTACGTTCCCAATCTAAGAAGTAATTTAATTTCAGTTGCCAAAATTACTGACAATGGTCATAATGTTCTTTTTAAACGTGACGTTGCTTATGTCACTGATAACAAGGGAATTGTCAAAATGACAGCCGATCGTGTGGGTAACTTATACAGACTGAGAGAAGTAAAGAATAGAATGAACGACGCATTAGTTGCTATGAATGTGGATATACGTTTGTGGCATGAGCGTATGGGTCATTTGAATGCACGAGATCTTGTGAAATTACTGAATACTTACGGATTTGATGTTAAGACAGAGGATATGAATGTGTTATATGACTGTGAAACATGTACGAAGGGAAAAATGACTACACTACCGTTCTTGAAGACGAGAGGCCCATGTAACACCAAATTAATGATTGTCCATTCGGACGTGGTTGGACCAATGAGAACCGAATCTCTAGGTGGAGCAAAATACTTTGTCACTTTTATAGATGACAGTACACGTTGGTGCGAAGTGTACTTGCTTAGTAAGAAAAGTAAAGTATTGGACGCGTTTAAATCGTATAAAATGATTGTTGAAAAACAATCTGGTATGAAAATTAAAGCTCTTCAGTCTGACAACGGTGGCGAATACTGCAACAAAGAATTCGATGATTTTCTAAGAACCGAAGGAATCCAACGTCGTTTGACGGTAGCACATACACCTCAAATGAACTCTGTGAGTGAACGTATGAATCGTACTCTTACTGAGATGGCTAGATGTATGTTATTGTCTTCGGGACTGTCTAAAGGTTTTTGGGCTGATGCTGTGGCAACTGCCTGTCATATTAGAAATCGTTGTCCGACTAATACTTTTAATGGAGATACGCCGTATAACATGTGGTATGGAAAACCAGCCAACATTGAGTACATGCGATGTTTTGGTTCTAAATGTTTTGTCTTAGACAAGACGCCCAATAAAGATAAGTTTGTCGCGCGTGCTCGAGAAGGCATAATGGTAGGATATCCACGAACTTCTAAAGGATATCGAATATGGATACCAGGTGAACATAAAGTTATTATTGCACGAGATGTGAAATTTCAAGAGAATCACATTACCAAAATCAATGAAATTTGCGGAAGTAAAGACAGCAATGTAGATAGAAATGAGATTATCGAAAAGGAGAAGAAATTAGATAATGAATCTATCATTGATGTAGTATTTAATAAAGATACGAGATGTGATGATATTGAAATAGTACATGAAAATAACATAAATGATAATAACGATAATGGTGATGCAAGTGAAAATGCAACTGGTGGAGCAAATGAGGATATAACAAGTCAGATAATATTAAAGAGAATGCCTGGAAGACCGAAAATACAAAGAGGTCAACGTGGAAGGCCTAAGAAGTTATATAATGTTAGAAAAACCAATCAAGAACTTAATCAAAATGAGATGACAGAAAATACAACAACGCAATGTAATCAAGAAGATAGTGAGAGGCTTTACGAAAATGAACATTTTGCTGGAGCTATAGAAATATCTATAGATGAAGCTTTATCGGGTGATGAACGCGAAGGCTGGATGGAAGCTATTTCGTCAGAGGTTCAGAGTTTGATTAAAAATAATACTTTTGATATTATTTTGAAGCCCGACAACTGTGATGTTGTAGGATGTCGCTATGTTTTAACAAAGAAACAGAACATTGATGGTACTGAAAAGAAAAAGGCAAGACTTGTAGCCAAAGGTTATAACCAACGATATGGAGTAAATTATTTCCAAACGTACGCTCCGGTAGCTAGACTTCAAACTGTAAGGTTATTGTGTGCTCTTGCTGCAGAATTTGATATGGAAATTCATCAAATGGATATTAACACAGCGTACTTAAATGGAATGCTTGATGAGGAAATTTATATGAGGATTCCAGAATATTTAGAGAAAACTTTAAAATATATTATAGAAAATGATAGTATAGATGAAAATATTGTGATGCGGGCAAAAAGGATGTTGAAGGATCTACAAGGCGGTGGTAATATATGTATACTGAAAAGGTCATTGTATGGATTAAAACAATCCGGACGACAGTGGTACATACGTTTAAATGAAAAATTAGAAAAAATGGGAATGAAACCTACACTTAATGAACCGTGTTTATATTATAAGAAAAATGAAGATGGTCAATTACTTCTAGTGACTATATATGTGGATGATATTCTTATAAGCTGTAAAGATAGGCAATGGATTCTACAGTTTAAAAGGGAGTTAGCAAAAGATTTCGACTTAAAAGATTTCGGAGAAGCAAAGTATTGTTTAGGCTTAGAAATTGAAAAATGTCAGGATGGTGTAAAGCTTTCTCAAAGAAAATATATTAAAGAAGTTTTGCAGAAATTCGACATGGAATATTGCAATCCTGTATCAACGCCACTTGAAGTCGGCATGAAATTTTCAAAAAGTGTTGAGACAACGTATCAACAGTCATGGCCGTACAGAGAACTAATTGGTTCCCTTATGTATATAGGTATTGGAACTAGGCCAGATATTTGCCATACGATCTCGAAACTTGCTCAGTTTACGGAAAATCCGAGTAAGTTACACTGGAAATGTGCAAAACGTGTGCTGAGATATTTAAAGAAAACTATAAACCATTCTTTATTTTATAAGAAATCTGGAAAATCATTATATGGTTTTAGTGATGCAGATTGGGGCAATTGCTTGATTGATAGATGTTCCTATTCTGGATATGTGTTTATACTTGGCAACGCCGCGATATCTTGGAAATCGCAGAAACAGAAATCGGTAGCTACATCTCCGACGGAAGCTGAATATGTGAGCCTGGCAGAATCTATGAAAGAGAATATATATTTGAATAGTTTATTAACTGAATTAGGTTTGGTTGAGCTTGCTAAGGTGGTGATGCATGTTGACAATAGAGGTGCGATTTGTTTGTCTGAAGATCCTAAATTTCATAACAGAAGCAAACATATTAATATTAAATTTCACTTTGTACGTAGTATTGTGAAAGAAAAATATTTAACCTTAAGGCATCTGTCAACGGATTTAATGATAGCTGACATCTTTACTAAAGCTTTGCCAATATCGAAACATTTATTTTGCGTAAAAGGTTTAGGGCTTGTAGATAATGCAGATTAAAGGGGGCGTGTTGGAGTTTGTAATCTGCTGACATGTGCACTGGCTGGTTTTAGTCTGGTTTTAGTTTATGAAAAAAGGTGTACATCTGTCATACGTAAAATATTTTTTCATTGTCTTTCATAAATATATTTTCCCAAGTAAACTTGTATTATTCATCAGAAGTTTAGTAGATTACGAATTTAAATTGAAAATGCGTGACAAAAATTTAGGACTTTTTAGCTTTCTTCGCTTACGCAGCCTAAACTATAAGACCTACATAAAAATGATGTATGAACTAATTGTAGCTATTTAAATTTACCAAATAAAAGTTCGCGATAGTATATCCATCTATTATCGATCAGTTTATGAGTCTATTTTCTACCCTTAATATTAGGTCTTATACTCATACAGTCTGTGATTGTCTGCCACAAGCTCTGTTGTATTCAAACAAAAGGTGGAGTGAAGGCAGAGACCAGAGTCCAAACAAGGAGTAACTGACATCTTATTTTAATAAATATGT